ATGAGCCCAGGAAAGTTAGCTACATGTTCAAACTGAGAGGGTCTGTCGTGAAAATTTGATTTTTTAAATTACTAAATTCAACAAAAATCACCTATACTCTTATTTCTAGGTGAAAGACAGAGAATGAAATGGGGAAAGGACAAAAAAGGGCAGGATATTACTTTTATTGGTTGTCAATAAAATTGTACACATCAGATGATACACCTGAAAAAGAATATTTTCTTTTAGTAGCAGTTTTGAAACACCATAAGCCCCTTATATTGAGATTTTTAGCAAACAACTATTAATTCCCATTTTGCTTACTTTCTGGGAAAAATTCTTAAAACTTACCTATACTTCTTTCTGCTCTTTGTAATGAATGTTCATAACTACACAGGAAAATTACTCTGGATTTTTTTACTTTCAGATATTGCCTACATTCTTGGAACTATGAGCACATGATAAAAGCAGGAGAGCACACAACGGAGGGGTGAGGAAAGGTAAGGACACCAAAAAAACTAGTTAGCATTTGTGCCTTTAATGCAGAGAAACTAAGCAGGATACCTTAAAGCAACTGGAAGCCAATAGAAAAGGGCGACCAGGAACTAGAGGAAAAGGTTTAGATCCAAAAAAGAGTTAACCTAGAAGGTTAAACCCACGCCTACAGCGAAACCAATGTGAGTCAATGCCCTGTAAGCTAATCCTTATCTCAACCAGCAAAAATCCTTGTTCCTTTCCTTATTTATTGCTTATACTCTCTCGACAACAAAATTAGAAATAAGGGCCAAAATAGTTTCTGCGGCGTATTGGGGGGGGAGAGGAAGGGGGCGGAGTGGGTGGTAAGGAAGGGGGTGGGGGCAGTGGGGAGAAATGAACCAATCCTTGTATGCACATATGAATAATAAAAGAAAAATGAAAAAAAAAAGATATTGCCTACATTCTTAAATAATTATAGTCCAAATACCCAACTGGATAATTTATGAATTACACAAGTAATCACGTAAGAGAAATGCAGTTTTTAATCAAAGAAGTACAGATATGCCAGTCTTTTAAATGAATTTGTGACTTTTCTGTCACGGTCCTTTCTTCTTTTAAGAACTTCCTGCTCAAAGGATAGTTTTGAATAACCTGTTCCTTCTGTCCATCCTTCTGCCTAACCCACATCCCCAAACTTAAAACCAGATCACACACCTATTCTCTGACATTCAAAAGTATTTCTGAAGGCAGGAGTAGCTGAGTATACATAAGGGAGGCAGGTTTGGGCCCAGAGAGAGTTAAATTAATATCCTGGCTTGACCAGTTCAACTTACCGTACATCTTCATTTGCCCAGCAACACAATCTATAGCCAACTGCTAACCAAGTCAATATGTGGTAACAGCCACCCTAACTTGCCTCGATAATTATTCTCCTTTAACTGACATAATATTCAATATACTGTTGTTGAGTGCAGTAATGCTGAAATGGATGCCTGCAGGGCTACAAGACAATTGAGTTTTAGCCAGATAAGATGACTGATACACCACCAATACTGAATTATAGGGTCTCCAGCCTTCGGGTGCACATGTTGTATTCTACCTGTACTTAAAGGCTATACAGAATTATATCCAAAGTCATTTGTGCATACTTTATCATTAGTACATATAATATTTAAAATATTGGCCAACAGTCTAGTAACGCAGCTTTAGAAGGGGCTTATTTTTATAGTATAGATCTTTTATTCTTTTACAGAATGAGTGTTTTTCTAAACAGCTGAAAATGGTGTCTTGCAACCATTTGCTTTTTTTCCCTTAATTCAAGAACTGTTTTACAAGAAACAAGTGTATTATAAATGTTGAATGACAAAAGACATCATTTAAATAAAATCTATATTACATCAATTCTATCAATGAAACAAGACAGAAACTATACCTAGAGTTCCTCTAATGTAAAAAACGTCTATAATTTTTCTGAAAATGTCAATTCTTGACGCTGATAGAGAAACACTGTATTAAATTTGAGATTTATCAGAATTTATATTAACTCAATGAAAATTAATTATAATTTAAGTACCGCAGTAAAGGGCAAGGTTCTTCATATGCAGTATCTCACCCTCAAATAAGACTTTATACATGTTAGTTTATGAGTTTCACTAATTTTTCCTTTACACTTGATTTCTCTTTTGACTCTGTATCTTATACAAAAAAATACAGAATACATTTTAAGTGAGTACATTTTCTATACTTGCCTTAGAGGTATGTGGAAATACTGGGGAAAATTAATACCTAAATTAACTTTTTAAAGTAAAAAATAAAAAAAAGGTCAAGACCGAAAAGTAGAAAGACTTGTACCATGTCATAGAAAAACCAACAGGTTGTATATTAAATGCCATCAAAATGATATAGTGAGTGGCTATAGGACTGTTAGTATGGCAAATCAGTATAGCCAGACACATATCTACTTGGGCAGAAACACACATGAATGTAACTCCCATTGTCTTAGGTAAAAAATACAGGTGGAACTGAAATACAGCAATGATGACAGAAACAAACACAAGAGTGGAGATAGTAAAGATGACCTGATTGGAACAAACTCTTTGTAGGTTTTGAATTAAAAAAAAGACTTCCTATCAGTCAAGATAATAGTTCCATTCAAACATCTGTAAGAGGTTTCTTCCTTTGTATAGGAGCAAATTCATCCAAAACAGACATTACCAATTGTGTTGTGGAAATGATTGCAGAAGGATGTGGCACTGTGTAGATCTCAGGGCCAGTAGAAGCAGGACTATGAAACTGGTACCTTGCTTTCTTTTCCCTGATCTTTCTTCCTAGTCCTTGTGTCCCCTTAAATAAGACCTGGGTGGTCAGGGAACTTGTCTACCTACCCCACTGAAATGCCCCAAGGCAAATGAAATAATGTTATGCACATGCTCTCTAAACTAAAAGTGTAATGTATATATCAGCACCATCATCTCATCTCCTGAGGGCCAAGTTTTCTGTGCCTTCCAAGATGGGGATCTCACAAAACCAAGAAATGATTCTACTCTGGGAGCAGACAAGTTATTCCACTTCCTCTTTCTTTCTCTACTTCTACTCACCATTCCACCCCAGCTCTTCTGTCCTGGTGAACACCTGGAGATACCGGAATTCGTGTGTTCTGATGCCAGGTTAAAGCAAAGGAAGACTGGCGGTTCCTTACTCACCACATACCAAGCTGGAAGCCAAGGACTTGAACATAACACGGGGTGGCTTGGGTCATAAACACAGGGAATTATCTCTGGCCACTACACAAATTTGGCAGAGCCAATGACAATTTTTGGAGGGAGGGGTCAATTCTGATATTATTCCCACAGGAAATTTAGAAAGCCACTTCAGATTCTACCTTCTCAACTGAAATCTCCTTCCACAGGTGTTAATCATCCAGTGTAGTGTTTTTAAATCCTGAGGTCTTCCAAAATGCTGTTCTCAACACTGACCCCTCATGGATTGTAGGATGAACATAACAAGTTTAAGACGCAAAGTGTACAGTGCAAAATGACTCATGATATATTGAAAAAAAAAAAAGATGGGAGCTTGGGAGGAGGGTACAGACAATGGGCTTTCTAGAGAAGTTTGCAGGCCCTTACCAGATCAGAAGTATCACTAATAACCAAGGAGGAGCTCCAGACTGGAAGAAAAGGCACCATGAAGGCCAAATCTATACCCATGCTTTTCAAGTTTCAGAATATAAAACTCAAAGGGCTAAGATGTAAGGGTTTACTAGTTATTCAACAGAGTTTCATTTGATTTGGATGAAAAAAACAATGTAAATACTAAGGGTATACAGACCACCAAGAAACACCATGCCTCCTAACTGAGGATGAGAAAAGGCCTTAATGAACACTGATGGAGTATCACCTCAGATTTTCACACATCTATTACCCATCTTGAAGAGCCCTCCCGAGTAACAGGACAATAATAAGATTTACTGGGAAAATAAGAAAGCCCACTTTGTAGGGAGAAAGAGCTGGATTCAAAAGGTGCAAACAAAATAACACTACTCAGCAGGCCACTTTTTCCCTTATAATACACATTACTAAAGCTGAACATGGTCTACCAGGATAGCTCTCTTTATTCCCAATTTCCTGACCAGAGGAGGATGTGAATGCTAGGGACAGGAAGAAGACCAGGCATCCTCAGGGCTCTCACCCGACCCTCCAAAAGCTGGCCTGGATGCAAGCATCGAAGTCCTCCCCTACCTGAAGGATGTATCCCCGGACGTAGTCCCGCAGAGTCCAGCCCAGGCCATGCAGTATGTGCAGCACTTCCTCTTGCTTTAGGACACTGAAGAGCCGGTCCAGCAGGATCTTTAGCCGCACAGGCACTGCCTGTGTCCCATAGAGCATCAGGCTGCTGATGTCAAACACCACGTTGGACTGCACAATCTCCACTTGGGTAGGGTGGTACAGGTGCTGTGTACTGAGCTTATCCAAGGCTATGGTCATTTCACCAATGTCCCAGGGATGGGGATGGAATAAAGAAATAGAAAGCACAGAGACACAGAAATTAGAAACGTTACTGAATGTTATCAGGGCTCCATTTCTTGGATCACATTCATATAGTTTTAAACAAGATCTTCTCTCCTTCCTGTTTTGCCCGCTTTCTTTTCCTTTGATTTTTTTTGTTTACAAATTGTAGACAATATCAAATACAAAACACATTCAGCTTATAGAAAGAGTCACTAAGGATGTTTTTAAATGACTGTGGCTGGCTTTGAAAACCTGACTAACTAATTTACTAATTGAACTATGGCTCAAGTTATCATGGTATCCCTATTGCTTCCCCCACCCCACGAAACCTTCCAAATTCATGCTGCCAGAAGACCAGTATCACTTATTTAAGTAAGATTCATCCTTTAAGCTGTTGTGATGACACAGGCCTGTAATTCCAGTACTTGGGAGACTAAGGCAGAAGGATCATGAGTTCCAGCCTGAGCTACATAGGGAAAGATTGCTTCAAAAGAAAAAAAAATTCACACCTTTTAACACCAAGTTTTAAAGAGGAGGAGTGTTTTAAAGCAGTAAAAAGCCTAACTCGAGCTGAGCAAGGTGGCACACACCTATAAAACTAGGTTGCAAGGCTGAGGCAGGGGGATCACGAGTTCCAGGCCAGCCTGAGCTACATAGTGAGACAAAGCCTGACTCAGAGGGAATATGGCCACACTCTTGTATGGAGGCCTCGATACTTGAAACAATTTAAATTAGCTAAGGCGGATGATCTGAAAACTCAGTTCTCCCAATTTCTCTCGTTCATCTGTGGGATAGTTTTATCACCACTGGCATGTTCTATGGAACACACTTAAGGAGAAAAAAAGAAATTCAAGTCTTAATTTAGTCACTTTTGTTAACAGATCTGAAAAAACTGTCAGATGAAATGACTAAATTCTGTGTATTTTTGCTAACTCTATTATCTCAGGGGAGAGAACTAAGGTTCTCTCTTGGAATAAATACTTTCAATGGAATCAATATTTCAACAATTGAAATCTCATTCTCCTCAATTCTAATGCCATCCCTCCCCTAGAACTAAAACCCTTAGAAGAAGGTCATAGATTCTATTCCCATTTGTGTCTGCGTTATAGGGAGCCCTGTTGCTGATAATCCAACTTGTTTGGCCTCAGTTTCTCCAATGAATGATTAAGGGTACACTAGCATAAGGCTCCAAAAGATGCTGGCGAGATTAATGAGAAGTTGAGTGAGGGACATGTAGAACTTGTTAAGAGAACACGAAAGATGTTACCATTAACACCTTTCAGTTAGAATTATCCAACATACCCCTTCAGAGATGCAAAAAAGATAAACATGTAAGCCAGAAAGGTGGTCATCTAACCTCAGGAGGCAGGCACACAGCTATCGACAACATTCTGTCTGGAATCACAAGGTCTGAGAGCACCTAAGGTTCTTATAAATTCTAATTTACTGCGTGGTCTCCCTAACTTGGTTTCCCCAACATTTTACCCCATAACAGTATGGGCTACAGTACAAGTGCAATTTGAGTAACTCCTATTTTAACACACACTTTAACACACCAGTATTTCTGCACAATTATGGAGGGATTCTAAAGTGCATACATATAGGTCTCTCTCTCTCTCTCTTTTAAAAAATTTTTTTTTTAGCATTTCTAATGTATTTTTTAGGGCTCCTCCTCCACTCTCGTTTCCTCCTGACTTGTGGTCACCAGAGAGTTCATGTACTCTTGATAAATTGCTTTCTTACATCCACAGTGTAAAGGCCCTTATCATTTACCCGCTGGCTTCATTCAACACATTTACTCCTAGGAATACTTTGTCAAAGAGTTCGGGTTTCCTCATACTTCATTTCTTGCAGCTGATTTGTCTGATCTTTCCTATTCTAGTGGTTAAGTCAACTTTGAATAAATAGCTTTAAAAATTAATTTAACGTTTGGGAAAGATAAGGGATTCACAAGCTTAGAGACTGAAGTCTTCTCTTACTCCACAGGGCATTTAGGCTGCAAAAAAAAAGCAAGAAAGGGGTATTTTCATCCTTGTTCTTCTTCAGTACAGCTTAACTACGCAGCCTTCAGACTTCATGACAGACTTGAGGAAAGCTGTTCCTCCTCTATTTCCCTTCATCAACCCTCCTGAACCAAACTCCTTTGTAAAATGCACTGCCCTCACCACAACACATGAGAAACCGAGGATTCCAGAAAGGGGAAATCAAACCCTGACTTTTAGACATGGTTTTGGCACTTAGTATCTCTGCATCAAGTGTATGTAGGTATATGTTCAAATGCACTCAGGTGCTGGAAGGAAAACTGTAACCCATATGTCCTAATTTATTTTTTAAAAAGGCTAGTGGTTTTAAAAGATGAGAGCTAAATCGTTGTGACAACAGGAAAAAGAGAGAGAGAGACAGAGAGAGAGAGAGAAAGAGAGAGAGAGAGAAGCTGTTCAGACAATTGTTAAGCGCATAAGTGAAAAAGGAAAGGCAAAAATATTTCCATGGAAACACTTTTTAGGGTCTGGCACAATGGCTCATGCCTATAATCCCACCTACTTGGCAGGCAGAGGGGTGGTGGTGGGAAGGGCTGCAATGTGAGGCTAATCCAGGCAAAAAAAAGTTAGCAAAACTCCATCACAATTAATAAACCAAGTGTGGCAGCACAAGCCTGTCATCCTAGCTACGTGGAAGGCATATGTAGAACTGTGGCTCAAGGCCTGCCCAGGCAAATACAGAAGACACTATCTGAAAACTACATAAGACAAAAAAAGGACTGGAGTTGTAGTTCAAGTGGAGAGCACCTGCCTGGCAAGCACAAGGCCTGAGCTCAAACCCCAGTACTGCAACAACAACAAAAAATTTAGAACACCAGAAAGTTAGATTTTAAGGACATTACCTGATTCTTCTTCATAAGTACACAACAGGTCAAGAAGTAGGAATTCAGTGATAAAACACAGAAATATGCAGTAGGAGTCAACAACTTACTCTACAAGGGCCCAATATTTAGTAACTATTTTAGGTTTATCGGCCATACTTCCCCTTTTAGAACTACTCACCTATACATCACAACAGGAAATGAGCCAAGCATAGAAAAGACATAAACGAAAGGGTGTGTCTGTGTTCCAATAAAATTTTACTTATACAAATAAGCATACAGCCAGCTTTAGATTCTGATATGGAACATGAAAAAGTGGGCCCAAAAGTCAGTAGTAGTAATGACAAAGTAACAGAAAAAGCTCGAGCTGAGGCAGCAATCATCTAAAAGAAGAACCATAGATGAATGAATATAAACCATCTAGCTGCCATAAATTTCAGCATGGACCTATCATCACAGAATATCTTCTGTCAAATTTGTTCAATATATCAAAATGTTGTGCTTTGTACTTGCCAGATCATACTGAGTCACCAAGTTGGGACAACTTTTCCAGAAACATGCCTGGAGGAACAGAGGGTAAGTGGTGACTTTTTAAAGTGTGGTAGTGTCTGCAGACTGAGAACCAACTTGTATCAAATTTCATGATCTTCCTGATGGGTTAAGGATTCAGGTCTGAATCCTGTAGGGCTAGGGGCATAAGTTAGGCCAAGGGGGATGAGGAAAAAGCAGTATAGCCTAGCTCCCTGACCACAACCGGGATGAGTGACCCAAGTCTAGATAGTGAGATTGAATCCTGGATTTTAGTTAGTTATAACTTGTTACAGTGGTAATTTCTTCTCTTTTCTTTAAATTTGTAGATAGTAAGAAATGCTTGAGAATATGAATGGGCTGCAAGATGATCTGAAAGAGACCAAGGACTGATAATGTTATTTGATCCAGACTAATCTCTCTCTTCTTTCCCCTACCACCCCCACCAACCCCTATCCCTGGCCACCTTTCCCACTCTCTCTCCTCTCCCTCTTTTCAAACCAAAAGAGCCCTAACTAGTACAACTACCTGCTGGGGAATCTAAAGGTGTATTAGTTCTAGGTCAAATGCAATTCATAATTTCTGCAATGGAAATGAAGACTATCCTAAGTAATTTCAAGGCTTATAAAAAGTTACAATAAATAATGTCTTCAACAACACTAATAAAGAAAAATAATGGTTATACAGAAGACTAAAGAAAATGATCATTTAAGTATTAAACTATATGTCAGGTAATCCAGGGGCTCATAAATATCTCATTTAATCTTTTAATTAAAACACACAGTATTACAATTATCACCTATTCTGAAGTCACATGCTCAATGGGTCAGGTAACCTAACCTAAGGTCACTTAGTAACTCCACCCAGGAAAATTGTTTCTACCACATGTTCAGATAAACAGTCAATAAGAAACTTGCAAGTCCTGATTGTGTTGGAAGTCCCTAGCTCCCAGCAATCTGGGCTTCCTGCCCATCACTCTGCTGAAGCAAGCATTTCAAAGGTCATGAACACCTGCCTTACTGTGAAATCCAATAGCTTTTTTCCTTCATTATTCTCTGTGATCACTCTATAGCAGCTGACCTATTGATCACTATTCCTCCTTCACTCGTGCATACATTCATTTCTTCACCAGCACTTATTAACTTACCACTGAGATAGGCGCTGTATGCAGATGCAAAAGTAATTTATGTTATGGCCTCTACCTTCAGAGACAGACAGATGCAGGCAATAGAAATGCTATAAAAGAGATTCAATAAAGTACCACAGCATAAGGAAGAGAGGGAAAGCCTGCCTGCTGGGAAGGCAGTCTCATAAGATAACTAGGAAGCTGGCTAGTGAGGAAGGAGGGGAGTGATGCGATTTGGAGAAATGGAACTGAGGCCTGGTTCTCAGTCAATAGGTGTATCAGAATCACCTGAAAGGTGATTTAACACAAAACATAAAACACTTCCCTTGGAATTCTTATCTCAGTGTCTCTAGGGTAGGGACCAAGAATCTACATTTCTAACAAATTTCTAGACAATGTTGATGTTGTTGGCCAGGGACCATACCACTGAACTAATAAGCATAAGAGAA